AAGATATCCATGGAGATAGTTAAAAGTGAAAATATTAAATAAAAATGGCTTACCTTATTCCATACGTGTGTTGTTTGCTCCTGGTGTCGTTATTTTACCAATTTAACTTGATTTAAGTGTTTTTTTTTTTAATCCTGGTTAGCTATGTTAATCAAGTTAAATCGGTAAAATGACACCAGGAGCAAACAACACACGTATGAAATAAGGTAAGCTATTTTTATTTATTATTTTCACTTTTAACTATCTCCATGGATATCTTGTAGAAAATCCCATACAAATCCTTATAAATCGATATGCAAATTGTGTTCCTTGTGTGGTTAAAGAGAACTTGGGCCGCCCTTGGTCAGATACTACACATCAAGTTCAAATAAATGAAGATCGATATGGCCAATGATGAGGTTTGCAATGCATTATTGGGCGATTAAGACACTCGCACTCGTAATTTACCTCTATCGCGTGGTGTCCGTCAAAATTCATTTTGAGGTAATTTTTGTTTCGTTGAGAAAAGTATATAATTAGATATGACTCATAATTGATTGAAAATTGATTTCCCGTTTCATTAAGTTCACGATACCCTTGGGATTAGTAACCTCGTAAGATCACGCAACGTGTTAAAAGTTCATTTTAGAAGGAATCGTTCCGTGCTAAATTGTTCTCTCGCTGACCGGCGTTTCATACGACTTTGCCAACCGGATGCCCAATAGTGAACTGCCACCCGTGTTTACGAGTGATTAGGAATAATCTGCTGAATATCGTCACAGAAGTAAGTGGTCGATGATATGCGATTAATCACTGTAGTTCGCTTATGTTGTAGTTTGCCCTGTCTAATATTACACAACGTTTTCCTTAAAGATCGAATAAAACCAGAAATCATTTATACGGTTTGCGTCATCCAGTGAATTAATAAGCCCCTTTTTCTCCCCGGATCAATTTTGAAAGTTCAAACTTACCAAGATGACAGTCTATTTACTTGTTTCTGAATTCTATTTCATTATGTAACTGCAGGGATGTAGAAAATAGCCGGAAGCCGGGAAAATTGCCCGGCTGTGAACGCGATTTTTCCGGCTGTAAAGCACTACTTCTTTCTCCAAAATGTTTTTAAATGTTTTCAGAAGATTGTTTTTTATTTATTTCGTTTGTTTACACCTTCATTGCTGTCTTACCTGAACTGAAAAGATTGTAAACACTCCATTTTGTGCGACGTTCGCATTATTCACATTGCATCGTCCATTTTGCAGGCTCAATGGCGAGCGGTATTTGTACTTCATGTATGCGAAATAATGAATAAAAACACCCAAATACCCGCCTGATAAAGACTTTAGCTACATCCCTGCAACTGTCGGTGAACTGTCGGCCGACAGTTGGCCGACAGATATTTTGGGGAGCTGTTGTTCAATTTTACCCAGATCTTGGCAGCTAGAGGGTTAATAGCTATCCAGAAAAGAAAATTTTTTTCAGTGATGAAGACTTTACCAGATTGGTGATCAATGAAGCTATATATTGGTTCTTGAAAAAAAATCTTTAGAATAAAACACGACTCGCTCAAGGTGATCATTTTTCTTTCCATACTTTGGTGTTTGAGATCTATCAAATTATTACATTCCAAAAGTTCCTGAGTTCTCACCATTTGAAATTCATTTGAGGATTCATGCAGGATTTTCCCTGAATATATAATTTTTCACTTTCTGTAAGTTCACTAAGTGTATCAAAGTACAAGTCAGGGTTGTGTAATGGTTGACAGCTCAGAGTGAAATCATCATCTCTGTCACTAGGATCAATTGTACTTTAATGAATGGCATTAATCATTTCTTTAGGGTTTTTTTTTTAGTTGTTCAGTGAGACAGTTCAATGGTTGAATTGCTCATTCAAAGTCATCTGTCTCCACTGCTTTAGTCCTGAATTGTATTTAGTGGAATTAGAAAAAAACTACTTTCACAAGACAATACACTGTTGAACTCCCAACAATATAAACATCAAAGCTTGCACACTCACAGAAAATTAGTTAATAATAACTCACTAGGAGCCTGTAAAGGCATTTTCTTTGTTAGCTACTTTTACTGTCCTCAAGCTTGACTAGGCAAACTTCATGAAGCACTTCCAATGCTGCTATGTGACAGCACATTGGCAGAAATCATTTGATGGCAGCTTATGCCAGAGAACAAGAGTCAAAATGCATTCAAACCTGTATCTGCTTGATATGTATTAAGCTTTTAAATAGATTTAGAAATAAACATTGTCTGGAAACCTCATCTTCTGCTTTTGTTATTATGCATATGGATCTCCCCATGCTTTTAAATAATGGTAATTGAACTGAGTAGAGTGCAATTTAGTCTGAAATCATATGCGTGATTTCAAAATCAAAAATGTGCCCACAGTGCGAGTTTGATTTGAAATCACAAGTGTGCTTTCAGACCAAAATTAATCGACTCAAGGTTAAATTACCACTTTGTTACATTCATTTTAAAATTGTAAAATTAATTGGCTGGGAAAAAGATGCGATTTAGAGAAAAAAATGGTGTGATGTGTGAATTAATTGCACCAGTGAAAGCTGATCAGATTGCAAGAATCACAAGTGATTTCAAAATGGATGTGATAAAGTTAATAATCAACTGGTCATTTAAGGTTATGTCATGCAATATTGGGAGGAGATAGCAAATAGTTTTAAGTTCTCACTACTTCATTGAAACATTAAGACATGCCATGATGTAATTCCAAGGAGTCTTTGATTTTTCTTTTTACAAGAGACAAAACCTAAAGTTTAAAAACTGTCCTCTTTTATTTCCTAAATCATATCAAGTCTAACCACTAGTAATCATTGAAAACCTTTATTATCAGGGAGTCAAAAAATTAAAATTATCAAGTTCACAATATTTATGTTTACAAGCATCCCGCAGGTGTTCTTGTCCACTTTCTGATATTGGGTTACCACGCAGCCTTAACAGAGTAAGTTTACAATTTACATCTTTCAGTGCATCTCCCAAGTGTTCTGCTCCTTTTTCAGTAATTTCGTTAACTGTCAGGTCCAACAGAGTGAGTTTACAATTTAAATTTTTCAGTGCATCACTCATGTAACATACTCCTTTATCTCCTACTAAGCCACAACGAAGGCTCAATGCCTCAAGTTTACAATTTACAACTTTGAGTGCATTACACAGGTGTTTTGCTCCTTTATCCCCTATTTTATTCCATCCCAGGTTTAACCACTGGAGTTTGCAATTAACATCTTTCAGTGCATTACTCAAGTGTTCTGCTCCCTTTTGCCCTATTTTGTTACCATGCAGGTTCAACTTAATGAGTTTACAATTTACATCTCTCAGTGCATAGCTCAAGTGTTCTGTTCCTTTGTCTCCAAATTGATTTGATTCCAGATTTAACACAAGGAGTTTACAATTCACCTCTTTAAGTACATCACTCAGGTGTTTAACTCCTTCATTCTCTATGTTGTTATGTCCCAGATTAAGCTCTGTGAGTTTACAATTTACATCCTTAAGTGCATTACAAAGGTGTTGTGCTCCTCTGTCTCCTATGTTATTATTAGCCCGGTTCTCGAGTACAGCGAAATCACTGAAATCCTGTTCTTGATCAGTCGGACCTAAGGCCAAATTAGTTAGTTTACAATTAACATGCTTAAGTGCATCACTTAGGTATTCTACTCCTTTTTCTCCTACTAAGTTGCAGCTTAAGTCCAAGATTTCCAGGTTGCAATCATTTTCAACAATCCACTTTTTAATTTCCCAGCAACCTAAATCACCAATCGTGTTCTCGTGCAAAACTAGTTCAAATGCATTTTCAAGGTTCTTAAGGAAATAAACAATTGATGCACAGTCAACAGGTGCCAGTTGGCAAAAACTAAACGACACTACATCACAACCAATTTCTTTCATTTTCCTTGTTATCAAAGATTGATGCTTTGTTCCAAGCTCATGTAAACATTTACATAAGGTCACAGCTAAAACCGTTTGCGTTTGATTTGGCCAACGGGTGTATAAGGTTTTACTCCTCCAGTCGAATCTTTCTCCATGTAGTGCTTGTTTATCTGCCGTAAGAGTTGACTTGGGAAGAAGCTCAATAAACATTTTGCTGTTTTGCAGATCATCTCCTTTGTCACTGTCAGCTAATAATCCAGCTAAAAATTGTACAACTACTTGCCAAGAAGCACGATCAATGTGATCAGAGATAAATTTTTGCAATGCTTTGGCCTCTGTCAAGGTATGTACCACATGGTAAGCAGCAAGGAATTCTTGACATGTAAGGTGAATAAAGCAATACTGAGGTTCACTTGGATCTAGTGGAGTTGGGCCTTGCTGGTCACGCAAACGATGAAGCATTCCACAATCCTCTAGTCCTTTAACTTCTTCTGAAGAAAATTGTAGTCTGCCTTCTTGTAATCCTTTAAAAGCAATTTCTCCAAGTTTTTGGAATTCCTCTTTATATTCAGTGGGTAACTTGTGTAATGGTTTTAAAATAAGATCATTCAAGGCTTTCTGTGATTGGCGGCATTTCTTACCATGTTTAAAGTAGAAAATCTTCAGGGCTATACTGTATATCTTGGTAAGCTTTGTAGGTAAACTGGAGCCTTGGGATTGCAACCATGACAAGCAGGAACAAATAATAAAACAGTTCACAGGAACATAGCACAAAGTAAAGAGATTGATATTGGTTCTGATGTGTTGCCATATTGTTTTCTTTCCTTTGGGATTCTGATCTCCATCGATAAACTTATTTACATACTTTTCAATGTCATCAGATGTAAAGCCAAGAATTTCTAATACCCTGTCAAAGGTCAGCAGTTTAAGACATGAGACAGCAGTTGGTCGTGACGTTGTGATGACGGTGGCACCCTTAAGAAGTGTTCCGGAAGCTATTTTCTTGTAGAGACAGTGGAGAGGCATTCTCTCTTCATCAAGGTCATGAAAGTGCGAGTCATCATTGGAGATCTCTGACCTGGCATTATACTCATCAACTCCATCAAAAATCAACAGAACTTTGGTTGGGTTCTTAATAATGTAGTTCCAGACTTTATCATCTAGATTTCGTACTGTTTCTGAGCGAGACAGCATTTCACGAAGATTAAGGTCCGTTCTTGAGTTAAAGCGTCTAAATTTCACAAGAAATGCCGCATCAAAATTCTGAGACTTGAACGCATTTAATGCAGACTCTCGAAGCAGCCTAGTGGATAAAATTGTTTTACCGATGCCTGGACGACCAACAAAAAGAACACGTTTGTTATGACCATCAAATATATCTTGCATGGGTACATAGTTAGACTGATTTGATTTTGGTTTTGGAAAAACTTTAAGTTGTTCCCGTCTATCTTTAGGAAAGTCATAGCCAGCTATACCGTCATGGAGTATCAACTTTACAAATATTTTGTCGAGCTCTAGATCTTTAGGTTTTGGGCCTTCTCCTGGTTTAGGTCGAATAGGTTGTTTCAGATCTTCAAGTTGCTCTGTGCCTTGTATTATACGATCCTTCAAACGTTCCAATTCCTCTTGCAGTTCCGCTCTCGGTTCAGGCCTATTGAGAGGTACTGCCTCTTCGTCACGGTTGGATCTTAAATGATCTTCAAGTTGCTCTCGGTCATGTCTTACACAATCTATCAAACGTTCCGATTGCTTTTGCAGTTCCGCTCTCAGTTCCGGCCTAGTGAGAGGTACTGCCGCCTCATCACGGTTGGATCTTAAATGATCAGCAAAAAATTGAGAGTCTTCCATAAACTGATTACCATTCCTTGCCCGTGAGAAGATCCAGACAAGTTCAATAAATGCGAGAAAGGCACAGATTCCATTGAAAACGGTCAAGGCAACACTCCCACCAAATTTCTCGGTTGCTCGTGTATTGCGACAAGAATAAGTATCATTTTTTGTCAGTGAGGCGTTTGTAGATGAAAAAGCCGAGGAATTGGAACCTCTTTTCGAAAGATTGCAAATAAAGTTCGACGGAAAATTGATACTAGGACGAAAAACGTGGGTTTGCAATAAGATGATGGAAAGGATCGCAAGAATAATTATGGCAGCTAGCTGATAACAGTATGCAGTAAAAAGACCCTTTCTGACCAAATTTCCTTGCTGTCCTTCGACATCAGGCTCCCGGGTTTCCAGCTCGTTAACTTTCGATCTTACCAACTGCGAGTAAATAACAGAGACGATTGTGATAACGGAGAAGTTTATAAGGACGAAGCCATACACGGGAAACTTGTTGTATTTCTTCTGGTAGTCATCGAAACACTTTCCCAGAACGAGGTCCTCCTTGGCTTTGTCGTTAAATTCTGCATCACAGCGGATGTCAGACGCTTTTTTACCGCTTTCGATATAAAAGAAGATCGAAAACAGAAAACCGCCGGTTACAATCCAAATGATAGCCGTCGCATATCTGAGTTTGCTTAGAGTTTTCGGTTTTACCAATTCTTTACACGAATCCATTCGAGTTACTTCTAGAAATTGCCTTGCTGTACTCCCAGCCGCAAGTAACAGACTGTTGACTTGCGAGCGAGAAGAGACTCAATGACGTTAAAATTGTGATCACAAGACTGGGACTTTGCAGCCAACATGTTCGTAGATAAACTTCAGAAGGAAAACTGCTTCAATACCACTGAAGAACACCAACCATTGCAAAAAAGAGAGACGGTCTGCTACATCATCGAAACGGTGGTTACACAACGTTAGAATGCGACAGAATAACCAGCGAAAGCCTTGGACCAGACCGTCGGTAAATACGATTGAAATACGAAAGTCGTTTATGCTTCATTCCTTTATATAATTTGCATAAGTTGGGTTGATAATCAATCAACACAGCTGTCGTATGCACAGTTACCATGCAACGCATCACCAAACAACATTGTTTTTCAAACCATTAGGTTACATGTGTTGGTCAGGGTCCCTCGGGCAACTACAATTAAATTAGCGCTTGACTGACAAACAGAAATTTAATTAAACGCACAAAATTGACGCGAGTTGAGCGTTTTCGGATAAAAATGATCTGGTAGTATCACGAATAATATTTCTTCGAATCGCTCCTTTCCTAGTGGTGCACAAGATTTCGTCATGATGCAATAGATTCCTGCAACGCTATGGGAGGCTGCATCGAAATGTTTCGTGTACTTGGCCTGCGAATAACACATTGACAAGTGACCCCTGTCAAACGAAAGGTATTCTAGAAAACCATTATGTCTGTATAAGTATATTTAAATAGCGCAAAGGGTGAAGTTTCTTCTACAACCTGGGACAAAACGGCTTTGGCTTGAATGAAACAAGACCTGCTTACGTCATCGGAATGCAATAGACAGGATATTTTACATAAAATACGTTTTACAGAAAAAATGAGAGAACCCGTTTGGCCTTCAGAAATGTTAAAATCATTTGTTTTCGCTTTATGCACAGTTACACAACTTTCGAAAGCCACGGAAAAACCAACGAATGCATTGGATTTGACCGTCAGATAAATAAGATATTGAAAATAAGTTTTAAAAACTTCAATCCCTCACTAAATTTGCATAGGAAACCCGTTTATGTTTCATTCCTCTGTGTAATCTGCATTGGAGAGTTAAAATAATCAATCAAAACAGCTGTCGTATACAGAATTACAACGTGAAGTACCACAGCATATTGTTCTTTTTTTTTTAAAAAAAAAAAAAGCACTGAGAAGGAAAGATTTTCTTTGTGAGGGTTCCTCAGGCAACTACATTTAAAGCGACGCCCAACTCACCAGGAGAAAAGTTTACAGAAAATCAACTGCACAAAGTTGTCGCGAGTTCCGTTCTTTCGATTAGGAAAAAAAATTGTAGCATCCTACTCTAAATTTCTTCGAATTGCTCCTTTCCTAGTGGTACACAAGATTTCGTATTACACAACAGATTCCTGCAACGCTTCACAAGGCTGCGTCGAAATGTTTCGTGTACTTGGCCTGTAAACAACATAATGACAAGTGACCCCTGTCAGCCGAAGGGTATTCTAGAAAAACATTATGTCTGTGTGTTGGTAAAACATATATCTGCTGAACGAAATGGGTTCATAAGCAAAGAGTGCCGTAGTGCTAGCGAGGTATCTTTAACTTGACTTCACGTCACTTGTAATTGAACGAGCTTCTGACAACGGTATAATTTTGATTGGCTGGTTAAGCATTCCAACTCAAAGCGCTGCCGCCTTCGTGATCTACCAATAACCGCCAAATCAAAATCACGCATCGTTGAATTTGTCGTTATTTCACAGTTTTCAGTCCTGTTTGGGACTTTTAAACCAACAAATAAACGACAGAAACACTACCAGCAACCGCCGACAACCGCCGCCCAGTTAGCCCAATGGATAGACCGCTGGACTGTTGTGCGGGAGGTCGAGGGCTCGAGCCCCGACCGGACCAACACACAAGGTCTTAAAATAATTGAGAAGAATTTGCTACCCTTCTATAACATCAAGAAATGGTTGGATATTCTGGTCTTCTCGGATAGGGACGAATAAATGGTCCCGTCTCCTGCAGGGTTGGGGGTTGGAGACGTTAATTTCCCACGCACGAGATTACTGTGTGGTCGATGTCCTCCCCTGGAGTGGGATGGGTGGGTTTACTGGGCCCGCAGTAATTGGCGCAAAGCTGTTGCAGTGTCCCTGCTTGTCAGCGAATCTAATAAATTAAATTAAATTAACCTAATAACTTTAATCAAACCCCTTCTAAACAACTGCGTAACTTGCGAAAATTCAAGAGTTCATGAAACCGCAAAAAATCATTAACTTAGATCAGTTGAGTTTCTTTGTTTCAAGATGTATTGTTATCTTTTTATGTTTAGCCCTGCGGCTAGCGAAAATGATGAGTCAGGGAGTCACGTTATTTTTATAAAACTAAGCTAAATACCTTCATTATCCACATCTAAGTTCCACTATTA